ATCCTGATCTTGAGATCGTTTGGGCAACCTATAAATTCTGTTGTGGAGCCATGCTCCTATTAGATTACGTCAATATGATTATTGTGGTGAGTCGCTGGGTGAGTTGTTGACTGATAGTGAGCGATTTTTTTGGCTATTTAAGCTGATTCTTTTTTTGGCTTTTTGGTCAGTAACGTTATTCTACCCGAGTGTGTAAGGTGTTGGGAAAGTAGACAGGAAATTACTTATTGGTACAAGAATATTATTTCTTTTTTTGTGTAGAGTTGTTAATTGATGAATTGGACACCTTAATATTTATATCTATAATTTTTATCTTACGCGGTGTAAGGAGCGTGGAGCAGAAAGTGATTTTAATTTGATTCACTTCAAACTGTTTCAAATCAGTTCGCTTCATTTTTTATCATCGATTTGCCGATTTCAGTTACCAAAATTTTGATAATATTGAGCAATGCTTCCAATTAGTATGTGCCGGATTTCCTCTGTTGTGTCTTCCATAGATCAAGATCGGCTGAAATGTTACCGACATACGCACTCTATCCTGGTCGACCATCCGATCTCACTAAAAATATCTGTCGAGCTCAACCTCCAAATTGAAATGGCCACTAATAGGAGGCATTCTCCGTTTGTCGGCACTCCAGCTGCATAAGCCCTATCAACCATACCAATTGGACTTTCGAAAAACTGAAAAATCGTTGACTTTCACGGGTCAATGTCTTTTCAGTTGGTTTATCGTAAGAGATAGAATGATCAGATCCTATTGGGATCAGTATGAAAGGCTTGTGGTTGATCTGGTGCTTATGTAAACGTGCCACTAGCAAAGTAGATTAACTCAATATCACCTTGAATTGAATCTGACAAAGCTGGAATCGTTTAGANGTTGGCGATTTTGGCTCATTTAATTAGCTGCTACAACAGAGGAAATTTTCAAATAATATTTAAATAACGAATCCAGAAAATTTTTCAGATTTGTTGCATATCGACTCAGCACTATTTGCGATATGCAGTTGTTTGCGTTCAATTTTTAAATCCACAAATCACTTCGTCGTTCGTTCCTCTTTCAGGATTATTATCGTTATAATCTCTTTTAATAGTACCCTTGCTATGGGCCGAGTAGCACTAGCTAAAATCACAGCAATTGAAGAGTACTGAAATTACTTGTTACTAGTGCCTCATCTACGATCTGCTCTCATATCAGTACTGAACATTTTCCTATTTCATCATCCTTATCGTTATTGAAGTGTTGAATCATCAGCATTTCCGTGGCAACTCGATACTCGACTGAATTTGTGATGTATTCTCATTGTGAACGTTTCAAAATTGTTTAGGGAAGGTTCACTAATGATTTGCACAATCTTTCATGATCGCACGTTCAGCGATTTTATTCTATCGGCTAGGAAATATTTTCATATTTCCACATAGAACTGGTGATGAGTTTATTGTGGCCAGGCGACACCTGACTGGATCTACTTGATCATAACTTGTGTATCGTTAATGTGATAGGTATTTTGTTGATCGATAATAGTAGAGTGGATTAACTCTTGTGTAGGATCGATATAAAAATATCAATAAGATTGCAGGTAATAATTTGCGAAGTGGTGTGCCTTTGCATTGAAAATAAAATACCGGTGACAATTGCAATCGTTAACTGATCAATAGAGTAATAAATCGTAATGGCCACGGAGTTGGAACAATTCGGTGAGATTGTGAAACATATGTTATGGCCTGATAACAACGTAAGAACTGAGGCCGAGAAGCAATATGAGCAGATACCGCTCATCAAAAGAAGTCAATTGCTATTCCAGCTGTTCTTGGACACAACTGTGAATGTCGAGGTTAATTTTTTGTTATGATTATCTTGATTATTGATAAATCAGAGTTGTGATCAGCCGTGTGATTTCATTCTCGGTATTTTTATCACGGAAACATTTCCGTTAACACTGACTGCCGAAGATTCGAAGACGACAATGTTAGATTGATTTTCGAAGCGGAAATCAAATTTGTGAAGTAATGAGATAGAAGCAGTTCGAATTCGTTCGG